GATGTCCCCAGTCAATTGTAACATATGATGCTGAGCAAAGTTTCCAAGCCAATGCATCACCCCAGCTAGTTAAACCCCTTAGAAACAAAATCATGTCAAAGCAAGAGGCAACTTTTTCTTCCTTTCCTACTTCACTTCCTTTTCCCAGTTAAAAAATAATGGTACAATAAAATCACCTAAGTCACTGAAAATGGCAACATGGCTACCTCTTTTTCTTTACCTATTATGTGTTTTATTTTTACAGCATATAGGAAGTTATATTTCTGATAAAACCTTTTTGTTTATGATTCTGCACATGATATTTTGGCCAAAAAGTTTCCGGTAGCAACTATGAACGTGGTCAATCATAAATGCAATATTGGCATTTTAAAATCTCATTTGTCTGAAAAAAGATTACATTTGTGGATTTAGCTCATGGATAACCCGTGAATATTGTGAACAATTTCTGTGTAATTTATGTTAACATCTTCAAATTCAGGTAAAAATAGAATAGATGCAGCAATTTATTCAGCACAATGAATGAGCTTTCTTGGATTATTGGGAGAAAACTACAGCTTTACCAGGACACCTTACACAGAAATGCAGTCCTGTGCTGATAAAACCATCATCAGGGTAGAAATCTCCTCATTAATTTCAGGATGCAATTCTCTATGTATAACATTTCATCTGGGAACTGCCTTGGCTTTTAAGTGAATGGGAAGGTGCCCATGTATGAACTCAATCTCAGTTCTGATGGGTCAGTGGAAATTACTATTAGAGCCACAGTGTGCAACAAATCATATGATATATCATGAATGACCCTATGTCACTTTTACTAATATACAAACATTGCATAGCCACACACTATAGAAGCTGCATTTACACAAAAGGGAGATCAAATGTTAGGTGATCATTGAAGTTGTTAAAAATGAATAAATATACTTTTCGAGCCAAAATTACTAATAGTGAGAAAAGGGCCTCTTTAGGTTCCCCTTCCCCCAATAGGGTATATTTTTGGCAAGTAGGTTTTTGTTTGTGTATTTCCTGAGAATTCATCATTTTTTATTTATGCCTGTTTCCAAAATGTAAAAGCTCACTAAAACATGTTGCTTTTGTTTCTTTGTTTTGAACGAAAAATCTGCATGAGAAGTAAATAAACTAACCGGAAACTTTTCGACTCCCTGGGGACCGTGCTTTAAGCAATTAAACATTTTCACAACTATTACAAGAAGATTTGTGCATAACAACAAATTATAACTTTTACTGAAGTTCTCTGCACCCTAATGAAAGTTGTCATTATGCTAGCATCCACAATCCTTTCAACCCTCTTCAAATATTATCAATCCATATGTAACATCAATTTTAGTAACATTTGTTTCCTTTGAAAAACGATATTGAAAAGGAAGTTTACGTCTTTTCTGAATCATATTTTATTCCTCCTGGGTGGGAAATCTCAGTCTGGTAGTCACTTCCCCCATACTGAATTGCTGAGAACAATGTTACACCAGCTGAACCCTGGGGAGGGAGAGGAGGAGTCAGGAGTGAGTCAAGAGTTCCCACCAGCGGAAGAATGGACCACTCACAAGCTCTGCGGAATTGCTGTGCTTCAAGTGAAAAGACCAGCTTGGTTGTGATTAGTCATATACCACAGCTGAGCCAATAATAAATCAACTTAGCTCCTAGACAGCCAAAATTGTGAGATTTCACACCCTGAAGACCATTGGTGTACTTTCTCAGTATCCCTGCAAACTGTCACTGACATGCTACCCTCCTTCTCATTCCCCATCCATTTTGCGGGGGGGGGGGGGGGCTTGCCTTGGATGTGTTTTCCTGTTT